AGCCCCCACCAGGGATCAAACCTGAAACCTAGGTATGTGTCCTGACTGGGAATTGTACCTGCAGCCTTTTTGGTATATGGGACAACACTCTAATCAACTGAGCCACCGAGCCAGGGCCATATTTTAATTTTTTTGTAGGTAAACTTCATTGGGGTCTGCTAGAACAAATTCTGGATACGTGAGGTATGGTTACATTAATGCTTAAAATGGAAAATACAGAAGGGCAGATACAGAAAAAAACAGAAGGGCAAACAAATCTTGCCTATCACTTTACATTTTATAAAGAACAATTTGGCCAATGTCCTTGGTCACTAGTTTTCAGGTTGTCATCATTTTGCTGTGTTTGTTTTTGAGCTCTCTTTATTTGCCTGCTTTTCAGAATTTTGAGGACCCCCTTCGCCTCCACTGTTTGATTTTAATTCATTTCGAGCCAACTCCTGCTAGTCTGGGTTATTTGTAATAATGAAAAGTTGTAATAACTTAAAATAGTCAGTAAATCTGATTTTCAAAAGTATTTGACAGGAACTCACAGTAATAGATACATTTTATATCACAATAGTTACATACAAATAAACCGAAAAAAATTTTGTTAAATAATACACTCTTATTTCTTGTTTTGCAATCTCACATTTTCTATTCTCTTCTGTTCTTCCGTTTTTCAGTGCTGATCCGGATTTACTAAATTGACTGCATGAGCCCTGGGATTGGGGCCTGCAAAAGAGCATACTACTATCTGTTGGTGAAGGCTTTTTCTTTAAAAAGTACTTTCTGAATAATTTTAGGGTTTGAGTTCTTTCACCCCCTACTGACACATTCTTTTTTATTTTCTTTTATTGTTTCCTCTGTTGCTATTTAAAAAGAAATCCCATTATAGGAAAATTAACAAATACAGGCAAGCAGAATAGAACATAAAACTTACCCACCAACCGGAGACAATTAGATTAACTCAGTAGTTCTCAGCTGGGGTGGCGGGGGCAGTCGTGCCTCCTCAGGGGACATTGGGCAATGTCTAGACACATTTTTGTACAACTGGCGGTGGGGTGCTACTGGCGCCTAGTAGGTTAAGATCAAAGATGCTACTAAGCATTCAACATTGACAAGGACAGCCCTCCCAGAACAAGGAATTGTCCAGCCTCAAGGGTTAATAGTGCTGAGGTTGAGAAATCCTGGTTTAATTTAACACCACGGAATATATAAAGATTCCATTTATAGATTGCATTTACATTAAAGACTGCTAGGGCGGGGCAAAAGTAGTTTTACAGTTGTTTGTATGGAAAATAATACAATAATTAATAATACAAGAACAAACTGTTTCATGTGCTCAGAACTATAAACCTGCTTTAGCCCCACCTTGTATATAGTCCATAGTATAAATGAATAGATAGAAATGAATCAAAGGGTAGGAGGGGCAGAAAAGAAAAAAACCCTAAATATTATGAAAGGACAAACATCCTTAAGAACACACAAATTCTTGGAGAAATCACCTCTGTGATTCACCAAAATTACTTTTATTCAATAACCAGTGCCCGGGGAGATAATCTATGGTTGAGTTCAGCACGTAACCCACAGCAAAGCTTGTGGGATGTCACTATATAATTAAATTTCCTGAACAACCACCAAATCTGTTAACATCTATTAAGGTAATTGAGTTTTTACCTGGAAACAGAATTGAATATACCCTCCAGGCAGTTAGAGCACTTTTGAATTTTCTGCTCATTTCCCCATCCACCTTAGGGATTTGATAATTTCTTAAAGGAGGAATAGTTTAAATGATCAGAATTTGCATACATAGACTTTTATTGCATATAGACATTTTTGTTGTGTGTTTTTTTGGTACCCATTAGCCTTAAAAAATTACTCAGTAAAGATATTTAGAGTTTGAAATTCAGTGATTCCAAGAAATCTTTTGTTTGGAAAATCCTGATTAAATTTAGTGCATTTCAAGTTATGATCCAAATAGAAGATATCAAGGCAAATATAATACTATTACCCTAAAATATACATAAAACTTTCTTTATAGTCTAAAGTTATATTTCCTAAGTTAATTATTCTGCTTTTATTAATTTTAAAATCACAGTTAACTGCCAGAGAAAGTAACTTACCACTAAGAGGTTTTAGAGCAGGGTTTATAGATATGTAGTTAAGTTATCCCCATCATTATTTTTAAGACAAAAATTAATACAAATATAATAGAAATAGATCAACAGCACAATAGAAAAAGACAGCAGTAGATATGAATAAGTCATTCATAGATTAAAAAGACACAAATGGGTCCTTTTACTAAGAGAATGTAAATTAAAATATTAGACCTATTTTTGGATTGTTAATTTTTGGATTAGTAGAGATGAGAGAAAGCCTCTTGTTTGCTGCTCGTGAACACTTAAACTTGTATCCCATTTTGGAGGATTAGTTTGGTGATATCTGTTAATGGTTAAATGTGTACACTTTTTGACCCATCAGTTGCACTACAAGGAATTTTATCAAACAGAAATGTACAAATATACCAATATACAAATGTACAAATGCACCAAGACACATGGTCAGTATAATAGTAAGCTATTGGAACGTACACAAGTGCCCATCAATGGGAAGTAGGTTAAGAAAATTACAGTTACGGCCATACATGAAAGTGTTACCTGTATGTAAAAGAAATGAGATCGGCTTCTATGTAATGTTATGGAAAAGATACTCAAGGTATATCAAGCAGTACATTAACTTAATGGTATTAACTCTAAAAATGTTTGAGCCCCCACCCTTTCCTAGAAGTGTAAAATAAGCATGTATTCTAAGTACATTTATAAGTACGAAAAATTTTAATTTATAAGTTCTTTTAAAGGACAGAATGCTGTATGAATGGAAGAGTATACAATTGTTTTTATTTATTAGGTAAAACTTAAGAGTAGGGTTTGCTAAAACGAAAGTTTCAGCACGTAAAGTGAAGCATTTGTGTACTCTACCATTTTAGACACCATCTGGAGCAATTACTGCTCTTGCCACTCATTACTAACTTAATGTAAAAAAAAATCACTTGATTTTCCTAATGTCTCACAATTCGTTGTGAAATAACACTGACACTGTGAGCCCTGTCATCTAACAAGTACTTAAAAAGTGCTTTCAAGTCTTCTCTTTATTCATTGCTAAAGATAGATCTGAGTGAGTCTGGATACTCTCTGGCCCTTTGGCCCTTGGGTCTTCGGCACAGAATAGGGTTCCAGAGTTGAGAGTAAGGACTTTGCCACAGAATTCAGTGAGAGGTGATCAGGAACTGTATTCTAGAACATGAAGGACAAAGGATACTACTTTCTCTTTGACTACATTGTTACTAGAAAGAGAAAAACAGACAAGGTTTTCAATTTTGGATCCAATACCACTAGTTTACTTAAGCAGTTCTCATTTCAACAAGACTTAAGCCCTCAGCTAATTGCTAGCTTACCAGTTTTCATCGTAGTTTTCCCAGCTCAGTTTACTTTGCGTCATCAGCCTTGTATGGTGGGTGTCTGGGGAATTTTAAGGTAATGGGCTTGTCTTTTCTAGGGAACGTGGGTGGTTTTGAGAACAGGTGTAACTTAATTCCTCTCAGTGTTTGTTATCCTACACTTCCCACTCCATCTGGTCCTCTATGTAGGGGGAGTGAGAGAAAGATTATTCTTAGTATGAAGGAAAGTTGAACATATGTATACCAAGGGGAAGGAGCTAATGCAGAGTGTGATGAAGAACATTAATAGAATAAAGTGAAAAGTGTATTGGGAGGGTGAATGGGAATGGAATCGAATCAAGCACAGGTCTTGGGCAAGTTTTTCCTCCTTTCCTGAGGAGATAACGTGGGAAAGCTGTAGATTGTTTTTTGCCTCACGAGTTGGGCAAGTGAAATTGAGTGTTGTCATTTTCTTGCTTTGAGAAACTACGTCAGCTAGTGGAGAGCTGCTGGGGACTGAGGAGAAAGGAAAGAGGTAGAAAGCTTGAGGAAAATGTTGAGGGTTTGGAATAGACTTCATTAAGGGGAGCAAATCACTAGATGAGCAAAAGGATTGCCCAGGATTGAAGGCCTATTTCAGATTGAGGATAATAAATGCCTAATCTTTATTCAGAAAATAGGTCTCCAAGAATCTGTACTAAGGGCAGCTTGTGATTTGTATTTGTGTGATACAACTGGATTAAAACCTTTTTTCTATTTTCATTCTGGCCTATGTTCCCACATGGTCTACATCGCTGACGTTTTAGTGCATTAAGAAACTCAGTTTGCTGGGTAGAAGATAGTAGGTATGGCTCTGCACAGGACCCCTTGTATGTTATGACAGAGTTTACTCTCACCCTCCCTAGTTATAAATATAAGTATTCCATGGCTCCTAAGAGGTACTGGTGTGGTCCAAGGGCCCAGAATACTGGAGTTATGATTAATCCTTGGTTGATTATGGGCATACCTATCATTAAGTAAAAAAATCAACCTTAAATATTAAGTGGTCATTGAGACATTTGTTTATAGCACATTTTCAGACCCTAGCCGTCTAAAATGGGAAGTTATTTAAAATATGTTATAGCAACTTAAAAGTGGTAAAATAATACACTTATTTTTTAGGGTTTCTTTTCTTAAAGGGTGTTTTTCCAATAAACAGGGTTTTCTCTCTATGAAGACTATTCTTCGCAATTGATGAATGCTAATTTCCTATTTAAGTACAATAATCTGGATCATTGGCTGTAAAAAATAGTTTGGCTTATCACTAACCCTTTCCTAAAGGTAGTGAAAGGTCTGTCACCTTTGAGAAGTGTTTCTATAGAATTTTTTGTTCTCTTTCATAGTAAGTCTCTCCTGGGTTGGAATGGCTGTGTGCTCAGCCCTATTTGGGAAACTTACTTTTCTTTTAATGGGCATAAGTTCTCCATGGTATAAAATTAAGAGAGAAAAAAAAAGATTAAAAGTATAATATAAATGCTCAAAGAATTGGTGTTATTTAGGTGAAAGGTTATTTGACAGACTTAAACTTTTCTTGTTCTCTCTCCAGAAAACAGAATGAATGTGTATCACAGCAAGTTTCATGGGGTGTAAGAAAGCATACTAGAATACGTGCTGGAGTACTGACATGCATCAAAATGTAGTAGGACATGTAATTCAGTTTGCAATGATAAGTTTGTCAAGTTTGTATTTATATTTTAGCATTATCTGAAAAGTCTAATTACATTAAATCCCAAGGAATAGTCCCAATTATTTCATTTAACTGATATTAGGGAATTTTGCTCTCATACTGATCCATCATTATTTATTTTTTTACATAGAATGCTGAAAGGCTCATTGACAAAAAGTATTATAAAATACTGTGACTCACTAATGCCATTGATACAGATATAGAATTCCCCTGGGAAAATGAGAGCTTCTAGAAGAAAACTAAGCATTTGGGGGTTTAGCTTATTGCTAATATTATTATTCTATTATAATCTATTCTGAGTGGGGGGGAAAGGACAATTATCTCTTTAAACTGTTTAGAAATTATCTGAGGATTAAAATTTAACTGGCTTTTCTCTTCAGATACTTTTGTATTTAATGGTTATTTTATAAGGGATCTATTACATATTTTATTGGAACAATTTACATGACTTTGTAGCCTAACGTTTCAAAGTGCCAAGTTGAAGAAATATTAAAATGAGGATATTTTTAAAGCACTCAAATAAGCAGTTTTAAACTTTTTTTTGAGTCACAAGTCTTTTGGTGGGGGTATAATCCCAAGGAGCCTGAAGGGCCATGGGTCCTCTTCTCAGGAAAATCTGCACATAATTTTGCCTCTAGTTACAGGAGGTTCTTGGAGTCCCTAGAAATCCATCTCCGGACATTCTAAGGTCAGTTTAAAACCACACCTCAGGTTACCTGTGAGAAACTCCTTTTTACATAACATATCCAGGCATACACATTTAACAAATCTGTTTGGAGAGCTCTTTAAAGGACTATTTCAAAAGTAATATATCCTTAGTCTCTAAGGCCTAGTCTTTGGGGTTTTTTTTTTTTGTTTTTTTTTAAGCGAACCATTAAAAATCTCCATTGCTACTTAAAATACCAGATGGGTGACTACTTTTCCACTTTTTCTTGGGAAAGATTTTGCTTTAGGATCTGTGCAAGAGTTTATGGTCACCTTAGGATATAATGATTTTCATTGAGGGATGAAATTCTTTGACTTAATGTAATAAAATCCTGATGAACTTGAGCATACTGGTGGGAGGGAGTATTCTACTTGCATTTTCAGTTAACTCAGCATTGACCAGATGATTTACACTGAAAATAGTTTAGGGTTCTGTAGGACATAGGTCATTTTATTATCATTTTGTATATATAGTAAAGTTAATAAAGATGGATATGAACTCCTGGGTATTGTTTAGAAGTTAAAATATTCAGCCATAAACCAAAGAACAAAATCAAAAATTTAGGTTTTCTTTGCTGTGCACTAAACTTTCTAGAAATCTGATTGTGTCGGTCAGTTTGTATACTGTGTGTAAGAACATATGCATTTCTTTTGTAGCCACGTCATGAATATTTTAATGTCCCAGTGTACTAAATGACTACTCGACGTGTATGCAGACTCTCACAGAGGAAATAGAGAGCTGATATACTTATGAAAGAAAATATCCTCAGCTTGGTGACCATCTTATAATAATAGAATGTTTCAGAATCAATACCTTTACAATTGTAATTTTGTTCCTGGTTTTATTCTTTTCTGTTTTATCTTCATTCTATATGTGATCTTGATATAGCTTATTCCTGCATGCAGCTGGTTTAATTTCTTCTTGAAAAAATATGACCTATGAATGTTTTTTCATCTTAAACACATCCATGTCATTTGTGAACCACTTGTGATTAATCTTGTTAAGAGGAAAACCTAGTAATCATTACAATGTTTACCAAAGAAAATACAGCTGAAATGCTAGGTCTAAATAAGCAGTGCCATAATATATAGGGTGGTTTAGTCTTCAGATGTTGAAAAGAAAGTCTATATTTAGTGTGACTATATTACAGTCTATATGAGCTAATGTGTTTTCATGTATCACATAAAAGTGTATTCGGAAATACAAGAAAGTAAAATCTGTACTATGACATCATTTAAGGTAAAACATTCAATTTTTAAGAAATTTGTAATGCCACATTTATTGAATATCAAACAGTCCCTTTAAGAACTATCAGAAAGCTATGTCAGAAAATCTCATCTGTGATACCTATTTAATAGTAACCCTTTCAAAGTATTAATAATGGGTTTATATAGTCAAATTTGAATATTCAGTTTAAATACTTATATTTTACTGGTCCTGGTTCTATCATAGTCTTCATTTAAAGTACTTAATGATTTATTAACTATGGTTTTATATTTCTGAATATTAAAACCTTTAATATTGATCATTGTGTATACATTTAATAAAACATGCAACATAGTTTATTATCAAAGGAAAGTACCAAGTAATTCATTGTTTATACCTAGAGAGTTTAAAGCCCGAGTTAAGTAAGCTGTCATTAAACAGTAAGTTCAAAGGATGCTCAGACTGGTTAAGCACTGAAGGAAGACCATGAAAATGTGCATCAGGCAGGCATGCAGATCAGTTCTCACCACTCTTACCATGGCACCTGGATGGGCTATCAGATGAGAAATTGAGCATAACAAACACATTGAAAGCATTGGGAAACATTGGTCTTTCATTTCCATTTCCCCCTCCACCCCTCCCTGCAATATATTATTTATCTGGTTTTTATGCTGCATAAATATGCATTGTCTCATGCCTGTTTGCTCTGGATGCTGTGCGCTGAGCTGTAACAAGATGTTGCTTCTTTTGTTATCTGTATACAGCTGCTTGCTTTAAATTAGTACATTCTGAAATAGCTTTCCTTGCATGTCTAAAATAAAAATATTGCATGTACTGTGTCTCATGTGAATGACTTTTTTCTTCTCCATCCATTTTGACAATGTATTCTACATTTTAGTTTTTCCAGCTAATTTTTTTCAATCGTGGTAAAACACACAACAGAATTTACCAGCTTAACTATATTGTTAAGTGTACGGTTCAGTAGTGTTAAGCATATTCACATTGTTGTGATCTCTAGAAATTTTTCATCACACTACCCATTAAACAACAACTCCCCATTTCCCCCTTCCCCCCAGCCCTTGGTAGCCATCATTCTACTTTCTATGCTTTTATGAATTTGACTCTTTGATAATTTTGAGCTACAATTTCAGAGTGAACATGTGAAAATTACATTTTATATTCTAAGCACAATTTGAAAAATCTCTACTGTACTATCTGTACAAATCTCAAAGGAATAAAATGTGTACATAATTCTTTGAAACTAGGCCTTTTTAAAAGGACAAATATTTTAAATAATGCATATTTGATAATCAACATGATTCTCGCTGAGAAATGCTATATAGGATGGCAGGCAGTGAGCACATAGGGGAAATCTGACCAGCTCCAGGGAGTAGGATGGGGGACATTTTTACATGGGTAACTACAGAATTCAATGTAGGCACCCTTTTAATTCATATTTTAAAGGTTGTATGACATTTTAAAAAATTATTTAATGTTAAATGAAAATGGTTACTTTTTAATTGTTTCATTTTACTGTGTATGTGATTCAGTGTATTTAAATATGTTTAAGGCTAGACATTTAAAATGAAAGAGTAGCTTATATCACTCTTGGGAGTGTTACATCATTTCCATTGGACTTCCTTTAAAAGTTATATCATGAAAACAGACATGCAAATAAAATAGTACTAAGAACCCTCATGTACACATTGCTCAGCTTCAATAACCATCAGCTCAATACTCTGATTACTATTCTTATTTCATCAGCCTCCATCCCCCCATTTTGCCTTAGTATTTTAGAGCAAGCCCTAGACATCCTATCATCTTTGAAACCAAAGTATGTATCCCTAGAAGATAAGTATACCACACCCTATAATATTAACAGTAATTCCTAATATCTTATTCCTGGTTCAATTTTTCCTAATTGTCTGAAAAAACAACCTGCCTCCTTAGCGCAGCAGGTACTGTGTCAGTCTCATAGACTGAAAATGTTTTTTGTTTTTATTGATTTCAGAGGAAAGGAGAGGGAGAGAGAGAGATAGAAACATCAATGATGAGAGTCATTGATCGGCTGCCTCCTGCACGCCCCCCACTGGGGATGGAGCCTGCAACCCGGGCCTGTGCCCTGACCGGGAATTGAACCCGATCGCCTGGATCCTAGGTCCATGCTCGGCCGCTGGGCCACGCCCGGCTGGGCTGAAAATGTACTTTTATAATTGGTTTGTTAGAACCAGATTCCAAACAAGGCTCACTGTATCTAGCTGATGTCTCTTAAGTCTCTCTTAATTTTTCACGTCTCTGCTTTCTTCCCGCTTCCGTTTTTGTTAACTGAATCACCTACGCTGTAAAACTCCCTCCATTCTGTATTTGGCTGGTTGTTTCACTTTTCTTCCATATTTAGCTCTGTAGTTTGGTTAGGTTGAGGTTCAATTTTGGGGGGCAAGAATACTTCATAAAAAATAACCTTTTTCACCAAAGCTGATTTTTACCCATTTTCGCTTAATATACAAACATACTAAAAGGTCATCATATGAACTTTATATAGGGAGTTGGTTTATAGCACTTAGCTTACTACTAAATGCTAAATACTGTCATTTAGATTTCAGCTGTGTGATGGTATCAGCTAACAGATTTTGAGCACTTTCTGTAAGTCAGGCAGTGAGCCTTATGTTCCTTAATCTCCACACATGAAGGTAAGTACTACGGTCCTTGTTTTCCCAATGAGGAAACAGACCATGGAGTTTTAAGTGTAACTTATTTAAGATTATTCCATGTAGTGCTTTACATACAATCTAATATATGGATTTATGGCTTAATACTTTTTTTCCTTGTTTTGTGCTATACCACAATTAGGATGCAAAAGTAAGTTTATTCTTGGATACTAAAAATTACATTGTTTTCCTTCATTAAAATATACTATGCCTTTTAATTGTAAAATTGTTGCTAGTAATACCTGAAATTTGATCTACTTGGACCCTTTTTATTTTGTGAAGTGCAAAATCAGCCACTTGGGGAAATTTTTAAATAATTTTTTCTAGATATGCCTGCTTTGTCTTCTTTTGATGTTTAAAGATGAGTATTGGTTGTTACAGAGGACAAGAATGTCTTTTATCCCAGAGCGTTATGTATGTTGCCTCCACCAAAGCTATTTGTTGCCCTGGGGAGGGGAGTTTCTGAAGCTTTGCTGCTGGGGAGACAGTGAAGTCAAAAACTGAGTAAAAACTCAGGGAGGAAGACATTTCTATAAATACATGTGACACCCCCCCCCAAAAAAAAAAACCCACATGGAAACCAAAATTATGTGAAGAATTGGGAGAACTCGTGTTTTTCCCTGCTTTTTATTTAGAGGAGGTTTTGAATTTTAACACTAGGATAACTTAACCTTTCCTGTGGATAGATAATTCAGTAGCAATGATTTCTTAAATTGCCAGTGGATTTGACTGCTTTTTTTGTTTTTTAAAAAATATATCTTTATTGATTTCAGAGAGAGGAAGGGAGGGAGAGAGAGAGAAACATCAATGAGAGAATCATTGATCGGCTGCCTCCTGCAAGCCCCCCGACTGGGGATCGAGCCCGCAACCCGGGCCTGTGCCCTGACCGGGACTCGAACCCCGATCTCCTGGATCCTAGGTCGAGGCTCAACCGCTGAGCCACGCCCGGCCGGGCTTGACTGCTTTTTGTGTTACAGCAACAGTGTGCAGCACATGCCAAAAATACCCTTAGCTTCCAACGTACGGGTACCAAACTCTAAATAACCACTAGCTCCCAGGAGCAGAACACGCCCATACCATGACCTGCCTGCATTCTTCGCTGCAACTTGCATGTCCTGTGTCAGTGTCACATTCTCAAGCCACCCCCGATCTGCTTACCAGAGTCTCACGTTTTCCCTCCACAGGAAGCCGAAACCCCACGTAGTGTTCTTGAAGAGATTGGACTGACATAACTCTCCTCCCTTGTGGATGACTTCTTGTGGCATTTCATACACTGTAGATGGTCACTGCCTTCATGTCCATGTTAGCTAATGGTGTAAGATGACGTCTTGTCAGTATTACTGTTTTGCTAAGCTGCTTCATTCAGGCCTACACAAAATTTTTTTTAAAGGGAATTTTGGTTAATCAATTGATAACTTAAGGGACTTACATGAATTAGAGTGATAGAGAAAAAGAAAGGTACCTGGGTATTTTAAGGCTTATAGGTCTGTTTCTCTTAATCTGATTATATCCATGAAAATGACAATCAGGCAATATACATTTATTAATTACTGTCTTTGGCAAAGGAAACTTACGAAACCAAAGACCAGAGCACTTCGGTATATATGAGAACAAAGGGAATTGACATATCCCTTGAAAGAAAATATCCTAAATGAAAGAAAATTTAACTCTATGTTGAAACTTAAAAAAAACAACTAAATTTATACCAAAGACCCCTACATACCTGAAAACAAAAGGAATACACATAGACTAAATTGGAATCATGCTGTTTTACACTAAAAATTATTTCTTTGACATTCCAAACCTGGGGTGAAGAACAGAGATTGACTGTTTTATAATGGTGAGCATGTTATTTTTAAGGCCAAGGAACATTTGACTCCTGAGATAAATTTTTTGTGGTCATAACCATTTAGTCACTTAGTTGGATCGTTTTTGATGCCCCAAAATAAAATGGAAATATTGACTTACTAGGAATTCTTCATGACAGATTCTACAGAAAATATGTTACTCTCCGCAATGTGTTGACTCATTTAAAGTACCAATGTTTCTCCTGGGGTACTTGTTGCAGCCAAATTTATTTTGCTCACCCCTGTTGCTTCCCTCCACTTAAAAGTGCTGCAAACTTTAGAGCAGCTTCCTGCCCCTCCATGGCATTATCTATGAGAAATCTTATAAAAATAAAAACATACCACCTTTCATATAAAAGTGAGAGCTGAATGAGGTAAAATGGCATTAGTAGGCCCTATATTTTTAAAAGCTGTTTCAATGTCACTTTTATATATACTCCATATGTAAACATGTCTTCACTGTTTACACTTTCATTTGTATTTGCTGGGCTGGATTAAGCTTTGTTGTGATTGTGACCAATATTCAGGCCACGTGTGCATCGGTTCATCACATCGCCAATTAGTTGTAATAAATGTTCAATGTACACCACTGTAGTGTGATTTTATCTCTCTTTCCAAAAGCTTATCAAACTATGGAGAGCTGTTGAAGGAAAAATATTAAGGTTCTTTTCAGTAACATGTTGAAAATTCACCTCCAATTGAATGTGGTGGTTGTTAAAAGCACACACAAGATAAATGGCAGATATAAGGAGTCTTCATATACTTCAAGTTCATTAAAAAATAATGTGGATTCCATGCTACTGAGAGCTTATCTGCACATTTATTTTCAATCAATAAATGCCGCTTTTAAAACTTGATCACTTGACTTTTCTACTCTTTCTGAATGAGCAACTCCAATAACTCCAGGTCATCAAAGGTATTCCAAAGGTGGGGTCCCCCCACCCCGTGAACTGGAGGTGCTAGTACACTCACAGAACGGACTGATTTTGCCAAGTACTGTCTCATAAGCAGCAAATCAAAGCCTAGTTAAGGGACCTCCTATTAACTACAGATGGGAAATGTTACATACTAAAAAGATTTTTAAGAACAAGGAAACAACTAACATCAAATTAAGTTGCTAATCTGTTAAAAAAATATATATAGTTGTAGACTTAAAGAGACTCCAACACATTGCTATTTATTCACTGAAAATAGGCCTATGGGCTGCGGGCAATGTAGAGTTGGAGTTTTTGAATCATTAGTAATGAGGTTGTAAGTTTAAAAAACATTAATAAATTTAAGTTCAAGATGGACATTTATCAGGATAACGAGCTGGTCTACGGTTTAGGAACTTCTTCTCTCCCTTCCATGCCACACTACCTATCGACACTGGGAAGTCACCAACACCTCATAATAACCTGGAGCACAAGCTGGTGTTTACCCTCCAAGACATTCCCTCTGTGCTCTACAGGACGGGGCAGGCTGAGTACTGCCTTTAGTTGTGTTTAACTTGGCTGCATTTAGGAAAATACTGAAAAATACTGAATTCAGTGATGATGATTTGGCATTCGTGAACCCTCTGGATAATTACAGAATTGTATTAGATGTATTCTGGACCACATACTTCCTTTTATAGACTACAGATTAAAGGACTCATTTTCAACGGCTATCACTCAGAAATACCAAACTTGAAGAATTTTCTATTCCTAATTCTGTCAACTTCACTATTTTGTGTATTCTTAGGTCCTTATTTCCAAATCTCAAGGTGCCAAAGACCAGATACTCTTGAAATTCAAGATCCCAAGTATGTCAATAGAAAGGAGGTTACTAAGAAAATTAAAAATTTATGAGGACGCGTGAGAGCATTTTTTTATGATCTGAAATCTAGTAACAATATTTTACCTTAAGCTTTTTTTTTTTTTTTTTTTAAATATATCTTTATTGATTTCAGAGAAAGGAAAGCAGAGGGGCAGAGACAGAGACAGAAACATCAACGATGAGAGAGTCATTGATCGAGCCCGCAACCCGGGCCTGTGCC